GCAGGTCAGCATCAGCCGCAGCAAGTCCTACCGCGAGACCGCGCCTTTCGCGCCCGGCGCCGACGACCTGGGCCGCCCCGACGAGCGGCCAGGACCGGCGCCCGCCCCCGCGGGGGAGGACGAGGACGAGGACGAGGAGCTGCTGGAGGACGAGGAGGACGAGGAAGAGGAGCTGGAGGAGGAGGAGGACGAGGAGGAGCTGGCGGCCGGGAACCCCCCCGGGCCGGGCGCCGACGGCGCGGAGCTGTCGCCCAAGGAGGAGCTGCTGCTGCCGCCCGACGACGCGGAGGGCAAGGACGGCGAGGACAGCGTGTGCCTCTCGGCCGGCAGCGACAGCGAGGAGGGGCTGCTCAAGCGCAAGCAGCGCCGCTACCGCACCACCTTCACCAGCTACCAGCTGGAGGAGCTGGAGAGGGCCTTCCAGAAGACGCACTACCCCGACGTCTTCACCAGGTAGCGGCCCGGGCGGGAGATCGGGAGGGCGGGGGCCGGGCCGGGCCGGGGCGGGCTGTGGGCAGAGCCCCTCACGGCCCCGCGTCTCTGTGCTTGCCCCGCAGGGAGGAGCTGGCCATGCGGCTGGACCTGACCGAAGCCCGCGTGCAGGTGAGTGCGGCCGAGCCCGGCCCCGCGCACGGCCCGCCCCGGACGCCCCTCTTCTTCCCTCCCCGCCTCCCCGCCCCGCTCCGCTCCGCTCGGCTCCACGCAGGTATTTGCCCGCGACGCCAGGTCCGATGGGGCTGCGCGAGAGGCCACTGAGCGCCACGGCAGACAGGCCAGGGACGGGGTTTGCTTTCCTCTGGCTAATGCTCTTTGATTGCAGCCACTGATCTCATCGCCGGCGGGCGCGGGGCTCGCAGCAGCGCCCATTAACCCCGGGAGAAGGGGCCGGGGAAGCGGGGGCGGGGGAGGAGGAGGGCCCCTGCTTGCCAACAGAAAACAGATGTCCCCGGGCTCGGAGCTGAGCAAATCACTTTACAGTTAGAAGCCGGCGCTGATAAAGCCTCATAAATTCCATCTGCCTCATTTGCCCCACGACAGCTCCCGGCATTAGAGGGGCTCGGCCGGGAGGCGCCCCCCTCCCTCTGTTGACACATTGCTCCATTGTCAACCAGCGCTGCCCGCTCGCGGCTCGGGGGAGCGAGCCGTGGGAAAGTTAAATAGGGAGAGCGCGGAGCAGGAGCCCCCCCGCACGGCCGGGCCGCCCCGCGGGGTGGGCGCGCAGGCAGGAGGCGGCTGCGGGACG